CGTGCACACGCGCTCCATGCGTTTCTGAAGCTGCTGGGTCCGGAACTAGAACCGTGCAGTCGGCCATGTGGAATCCAGCTGCCTTAACCACCACCACTCCACCTGGATGGCCCCTAGAGCATGTCCTTCCCCCCACCCCGAGAGATATTTGTTGTAAGAGTATGTGTGCTCATCAGAGAGACAGAAAGTGAGAAATCACCCTGCAGGGAGGATAGCCATGCCACTATTTTCTCTTGGGATTTTGGGCACATATGCATACATGCCTGGTATGAGCCTCAGATTTCCAGGCCCAGAACTTGAACAGCAGTCGACCCTGTGAGAGTTCAGCATCTTAACCATTATGCCCCCTGCTGGCCTGAGCATGTTTCCAATTTAAAGAAAATAACTGAAGGGCATGCTCAAACAAAATAAGGAAAAGACGAGAACCTGAAAAAGGGAACCTGGTTGGAAGAAAGGCTGAGGGGATCCTTGGAGAACAGCAATCAGCAGGCCCAGAGAGAAGACTGTCTTCCAGAAAGAAAAAGGGCCAACTGATGCCCTGAGCCGTCTGACCCTGCAGACCGGCTATGAGAACAATTAGCCATGTGTACAAAGAAGATCAAGCAAGAGAAAAAAGTCAAAGGCAAGTATTAACTCTTAGAAAAAATAGAAAATATAAAGGGAAACATAATCATGGGACTCTGCCGTGGTGGTCTGGGGATTATAAACGCACAGGCAAAACAGCGAAAAGGCTGAGCATGAGCTTCATGAAAAATACAGCGTAGCTGGTTTGGGAGGGTGGGGTAGAGGAGGCAGACAAGGTGGTGTGAGGGAGCTAAGGCCCCAGCCACCAGGACAGGCAGAGGAAGGGCTGCAGTACTGACGGGCAGGAAGGAGCCACCGTGGGCGCAGCAGAACACAGCAGTAAGTGCATGGAACCGAGGACTGCAGACACATGCCAACACCGGAGGGAGAGGTAAATATCAGAAAGGGCCCAGCTGTTCAGTATGTTATACCAGGGTGAGTGTTACAGCCACGCCTTGTGGGCTGGACAGCTGGGAGGTGCGGAGGGGTGTTCAGGAGACCTGCTATAACAGGCCTCAGTGCAATGTGACTTTTAGATGTGCATGCGTTATCTTGGTGGAAAAATTAACTTAAAAATAAGAAAGAAAAAGTAACATTAGAAATGTGACACAATTACTGAAAAAGTGGAGGCTGAATGATTTGGAATTTATGTAACTATTGTGAAAAGTATTATTACAGTACATTTTAAAATTTAGTAAAAATATATATATTTTTTGTAGAAAATATAATTTATCAAATAGACTTAAGAAGAAATAGAGGGACCAGCAGATGGTGTAATGGTTATGTCCCTGGATTCCCACATAGTTGACTGTGATTTGAGTCTGGACTCAGCTTAAAACTCACGCCAGGCGTGTGTGCATGAGTGCCTAAGATCCCGAGAGGAGAGTGGAGGAGAAGGAATTGTGGCGTGGCCATCCCTCTGGGGGGTGTTTCTCCCTTTCTATCTCTCTATTGCTGTCTCTCTGGTGAGCACACACACCCTATAGCAAAAATCTCTCTCTCTAAAAAAAAGAGGAACTAGAAATACAGTAACGATTTAGAACCATTACAACAATTGAATAGAGTTAAAGATCTACCCACAGGCCAGCTTTCAGTCTGGTGGTTAAGGCAGATGGATGTCACATGGCTGACAACACAGTTCGAGTCCCAGACCTGGTGGCTTGAGGAACATGACAGGCACATGTGCATCCATGCCCAAAGACCTGAAAGGAAAGAGACAGAGAAGGGATTGCAGCACAACTGTTCCCCACGGGGGGCGCTTTCTCACACTAGCTCTTTCTGTGGTGAGCATGTACCCTCTGGCAAATTAAACAAAAAATGTCTGAGGGCCAGCAGGTGGCTTAGTGTTTATGGCACTGAACTCCCACATGGCTCACCACAGTTCGAGTCCTGGACCTGGTGCCTTGAAAATCATGCTGGGCTTGTGTGCATGTGTGCCCAAAATTCCAGGAGTGGAATAGAGGAGAAGGGCTTGAGGCAAGGCATGAGGGGATTTCTCACTGTCCCTCTCACTGTCTCTTACTGTTTTTCTCTGTCTCTCTCTGGTGAGGGCATGCGTCCTATAACAAAAACCTAAAAAAAAAAAAAAAGAAAAAGACACAGCCTGCCCACAAACAATGATAACAAAAATAAAGTCAAACATAACACACCTAACCCAAACAGTTTTAAAGGAAAACTCTATCAAACCTGCAAGTGACAGGGACCAGCAGTTGGCGTAATGGCTATGTCGCTGGACTCCCACGTAGTCGACCGCGGTTCGGATCCCCGCGCGGTGAACTCACGCTGGGCGCGTGTGCGTGCGTGCCCAAGATCCCAAGGGGAGAGTGGAGAAGGGATTGCGGCGTGGTCATCCCCCCTGGGGGGGTGATTTCTCGCTTTCTGTCTCTCTGTCTCTCTCTGTCTGTCTGGCGAGCGTAAACGCCCTATAGCAAAAACCTCTCCAAGAAAAAAAAAAAGAAAACCTGCAAGTGACAGGTAATTCCAGTTGTAGGTAAAGTGTCCCAGTGAATGTAAAACTAGGGACGTATCCTCAACTCATTGTATAATCTCGATAAGACATCCAGACAAGACCAGAGGCAGATAAGAAATCAGCTAATCTCAGTTCACACAAGTGTGTTTTACATCTTAAACTAAATGTTGAATTGAACCAAGCAACTTACTAATGACACAGGATGGCAAGCTTGGTGAACTCTGGGAGTAAAAGGGTTGTGTAACATTAGAAAGTCAGTTGAGAGAACCAGCAGTTAGCGTAATGGCTATGTCGCTGGACTCCCATGTAGTTGACCGCGGTTCGCGTCCCGGACCCGGTGGCTTAAAACTCACGCCAGGCGCGTGTGCGTGTGTGCCCAAGATCCCAAGAGGAGAATGGAGGAGAAGGGATTGCGGCGTGACGATCCCCCCTGGGGGGTGATTTCTCACTTTCTATCTCTCTGTCTCTCTCTGTCTGTCTGGCGAGCGCATGCGCCCTATAGCGAACAACAAAAAAAAAGGAAGTCTGTTGATAGGGACCAGCAGTTAGCGTAATGGCTATGTCACTGGACTCCCACGTAGTTGACCGCCGTTTGCATCCTGGACCCAGTGGCTTAAAACTCACGCCAGGCGCGTGTGCGTGTGTGCCCAAGATCCCAAGAGGAGAATGGAGGAGAAGGGATTGCGGCGTGACGATCCCCCCTGGGGGGTGATTTCTCACTTTCTATCTCTCTGTCTCTCTCTGTCTGTCTGGCGAGTGCACACGCCCTATAGCAAAAACCTCTCAAAAAAAAAAAAAAAGTCTGTTGATATATTTCATCACATTAAAGGATGAATGGAGAAATATTTTCAACTGATGCAGATAAAGTATTTGATAAAATTAAACACCCATTTATGATTTATTTTTGCAAAAAGGAATTGGAAGGAATTTCCTATATAGTTATCTACCAAACTAAATATTACTACTTTAAAAAAATCTTATTTTTTTCATTCAAGAGACAGACTGGCACCTCCAAGAATCCACACACCTTATCTGTCTCTGGCCTCAGCCAGCCTTGATCGTGGGCACACATCATGCCTGGCATACCCAGGGCGGCCCTGGCACGTGGACCCAGGAGTTCGCCATGTGGGCCCAGTACCACGGTGCCGCATCAGCCGCCGTGCCGCCGTCTGCCCTACATGTGGTTCAACGGCGGGGCAGCAGGTGGTGCGGTGCTTAAGACGCTGGATCCTACAAAACTGACCACAGTTTGAGACCACAATCAGGCTGGGCGTGTGTGTGTGCATGCCCAGAATCCCAGGAGGAGAATGGAGAAGGGACTGCGGCATGGCCATCCCCACTGGGGAGTGACTTCTCATTTTCTCTCTCACTGGCTCTCTGAGTGCATGAGGTCTAGGGCAAAAACCTAAAATAAATAAATATAAAAAATAAATTCATTCTTAATGGTAAAAGTATCAGAAGCCATCCCTCTAAGGTCAGGAGAAACAAGAGTGTGTGTGCTATCTCTCATGGTCTCTTTTAGGAAGCTAACTCTGAAATTTATTAAAGGTGCATGCCACACCACCCGCGTAGAAGCCTGCATCTTCTGATCAGCTTGCACGTGTAAATTCCCCTCCTACTCTGAGAGCCCCTGGAAGGCGCCTCACATATCACACTCCTGTGTCTTCCACAGCATTTTAGCTTTATATTAAGCACACGTAGGTGTATAATACACATGTTTGACTGGTTGACATAAAACAAGACTCTGGGGGCCAGGTGGTGGCAGAGCAGTAATGCAATGCTCCGTGAGACTGACCCACATGGGAAGGTTCCAGGTTTACATCCCGGGACCTCCCTGAACCCACCGGGTACACACCTGTCCATGACCAGGGCTGCTGGGGTGGGGGTGGGTGGCAGTGTGAAGACCCTTTTGGGAATGCCTGTCTCTCTCTCTCTTTCTTTCCCTCTCTGTCTCTCTTATGGAAAAAAGAATGAAGTAATAATAATAATAATAAAAAACTTAATAAATGCTTTATTGGGCCAGCAGGTGGCATGGTGTTAAGCTGTTGGATCCCACATAGCTGACTACACAGTTCGAGTCCTGGACCTGATGGCTTGAAAAATCATGCCAGGAGCATATGTGTGTGTGTGTGTGTGTGTGAGTGTGCTCAAAATCTGAGGGGAGAATGGAGAAGGGATTTGCGATGTGGCCATCGCAGGGGATGATTTCTCACTTTCTTTCTCTTTCTCTCTCTGGTTCTTTCTGGACAGTGCATGTACCCTCTAGCAACAACAACAAAACACACACACACACACACACACACACACACAGACCATTTCAGGCAGAAATCAGAACCCAGGAGGCTGCTGGGTGCCGTGTCCTTTCACCTGACCATCCCGTAGACTCCCCTCCCTGTCTCCCTCTCTTCTTCTCCAGCAGCCTCTCAATTTTCTTCCAGAAAGACCTCTTGAGAAAGGGGACTCTTACCACAGCATCTCTAAGTTCTTATACTTCGTCTCTATACCGGGCTGCTTGGGTGGCTTCTTACTTCCGGCTGCCCTGGGAGCAGCTGCGGTGTGCACAGGCCGAGGGGCTCTCTGGCCCCGGAGCTCGTGTCTCCTAGAGAGCTGGTCAAGGCTGCTCGCGTCCAGGTCAGCCAGGGTGCTGACGCGTGGCCGCCGATATGAAGGTCCGTCCTCTCCCTGCCCTCTGTGCCCTCCTTCCTTATGGACGCTCAGCACGGAGCGGTAGGCAGTGGGGTTTTTCCATAACACCTTGTCAAAGGCTTGGGTTGGTGGAGCCAGTGCCGTGGAGGCCACTGTGGGGTCCTGTGTCCTAAGTGTGCTTGAGTCGTGCAGAGCGTGGTAGGAGGTGTCCATGATGGCCCCCGGCCTGTGCACTGCCAAAGTGCCCATGGGCTTGTTCTGGCCCTGCTGCAGTCTGGGGTGGTCATTCTGGTTTGCTTGACTGACACCTAGCTCTCTAGTCATGAAAGCCTCCAGGCCACTCCGGCGTTTCTGACGCTTTCGGATCCTGGGCTTGGCTGGCCTGGGAGGGTGCTGGCCGCTGGCCTCTTCGGAAGATGGGCCTCTAGGTACATTGCTGGATTCGGAATTTTGATTTTGAGACCAGTGTTCCCGGTAATTCTAAAAAAATATATTTTTGGTTAATGTACGAATGGCACATTTCACACATTTTAAATTAGTATTTTTCAAACTGGGGGTTGAGATTTCTAACAAGGTGACCATGCAGCTAAAAAGAAAAAAAATAAAGAGTATGGAAGGTCCTTTCCTAATTTCAGACAGTTAGATCATTTCTCCTGGAAACTTTAGCTCCTGAGCCTAGAAAGAAATAGTGAGGTTAGAACGGGCTTTGTATTAAGGATAAGTCTTTGACTCAAACGTTGTGAAGGGAGGCCCTGTCGGTGGTATGGTGGCTGAAGCGCTGGACTCCCACATGGCTGACTGCAGTTCAAGTCCAGGACCTGTGAAAATCACGCTGAGTTTGTGTACATGCCCAAAATCCCAGGACGAGAATGGAGGAGATGGGATTGCAGCATGGCCATTTCCCCAAAAGGTGATTTCTTACTTTCCTTTTCACTGTCTCTCTCCAGCAAGCTCATGCATTCTTTAGAAAAACCTAAGGAAGAAAGAAAGAAGGAAAGAAAGAAAAAGAGAAAGAAAGATTTTTAAAAAAATGTTGTGCTGGGAGAAAACTTTCCTTCTGAATAGCTGCATGGACAGAAAGTATAAATTTACATCAAAACATGCAAACTTATTTTAACTAAATAAATACCTAAAAAAAAAACCCCAAAAAACAAACACACAAAAAAACAAAAAAAAAACCCTTAAGCAGAAAACATCAATGATTGATTTGCTTTACCAACCAAGTATAAATTTAAAATGAAATACAATTCGGTTGATATCTTCTTACTCACATAGGTCAACAGCTGGAAATGACCTCTTCACTAGATGAAACAAATTAGATTTTATTCGGAGGATTATAAAAGAGGCTATGCCGGGATAGGGCATCCGTGGAGCCACAAGGGCTGCTTTGCTTCTGTTCCTTAATACAGCTTGTACTTAGGCAATCAAACATTTGGGGGCAAGATTTCAATTTCAGAAGTCTTTATGCTTTTCAAAGTCTCCTAACAAGATGTCCTCCTGGCATAAGAGATGCACTATGTAGCTATACTGTGCTATAGCCATTTAGAAGTATTTTCCGAGGAATAAAGCACTTATGACTTTGTGAAACACTAGCTGAGTTAAGAGGCCTTTGGAAGGCATGATTAAATGCTTACTGAAATCTGTGAGCTGACCGCGTGCATCGGCGTGTCACACAACTGCAACATTTCCCCCTTTCTGAAGACGCGTATCACAAAGCACTCCGGCCTGCATCTCGGCCATGTTAATTGAAAGATGCAACAGTTTAACTGTGTCATTTGAGAAAAACATCTTCAAGTGAATAAACCTTGTTTTGGGCTCAGACTGTTTTTCCTTGCTATGAAGAACGAGCAAATGATCGTGATCAGAGTTTGGCTTTTATTTCACTCTTCTTTTCAAAAATGTTTTCCAAGAATGATTCATTTAATTTTATATATTATTATTATCCTTCAATTTGATGAGAGAGAAAGCAAGCTGCCAGGTCTGGCCCTTGAACTGCAGTCTGCCACGTGGAAATCCAGCGCACTAACCACCACACCACCCGCTGGCCTGTATTTCATTTTTCTGAAATGTTCATCAATAATATACATATGTGTGAACATTTCAGAAAAAAAAGTGTATACACACATATGTACATTATTTTTCCTTTTTTTTTTTTTGAGAGATTTTTGCTATAGGGCATTTGTGCTCACCAGAGAGACAGAAAGCAAGAAATCATTCCCTGGGAGGATGGCCACACCACAATCCCTTCTCTTCCATTCTCCACTCAAGATTTTTTGGCATGTGCCCAGCATGAATTTTAAGCCACCAGGTTAAACTACAGACAATTACGTGGGAGTCCAGCGATGAAACCATTATACATACCATCTGCCATCCCATATCTGGAGTGAATTTTAAACTGTTGAGTCCTGGACTCGAACAGCGGTCGACTATGTGGGAGTCCAGCGACATAACCATTATTCCATCCGCTAGTCTTTATATTTAAGGTTGCTAGAGGGCACGTGTGCTGGCTAGAGAGAGAGAGAGAGAGTGAGGAGGTCCACCTCAATCCCTTCTCCTCCATTCTCTTCTTGGGATTTTGGGCATGCATGCACATGTATCTGGTGTATTTTTTAAGCTCCTTGGTCCAGGAGTAGAACCACGTCATGTGGGATCCAGCCACCTTCAACACCATGCCCTGGGCTGGCCCTCCTGTAGAATATGAAGCAGTATTCTATTTCTAATGAAGTCATATAGCAATATAATAAAATCATTATAGCATGATATTAGTAAGTTGAGATTTGTTCAATTAAAAACAGTCACATACAATATTACTTCTCATTTTGGAGTTTTAAAGTACGAATGATTTCCGATTTGAAATTTAGAACATGTCCTTAGAATTGGAGATTTCTGGAAAATTGCCCCAGCTCTGACTAACTCCTATACATTTTAAATTTAGAATTTTTACCTGTTGGGTTCAAAAAGAAACTACCTTCCTTCTGTAGCCCAAGAAAGCAAAGTTCATCCTTCCAGGAGGCTGTGCTGGGGAATGTGGGCCAGAAGCCTCTGCTAATACCATCCCACCTTCCAGCGGTACAGGAGAAAACTCCCATCTTACAACCTACGGATGTGTCTGAGAAACACGGCTGCCACCACTGTTCGCAAAGGTCAAAAAGCCCCCCTTTGTGATGATCTAAATAAATATAGGTTTTTGCATAGGGCACGTGCCATCGCTGGAGAGAGACAGAGAACGACTGCGAGAGGGAAAGTGAGGGGGATGGCCACGTCGCAATCCCTTCTCCTCCGCTCTCTTCCTGGAATTTTGGGTATACACACACATGCCCGGTGTGATTTTCAAGGCACCAGATCCTGGACTCAAATCGTGATCAGCCATGTGGGAGCCCTGTGCCTTAACCACCACACCACCTGCTGGCCCCTTTCTACAAATATTAATCAACGCTGTCAAAGTTATTTTCAATACTTGGGCCGCCTTTAACTTGCTAGAGAAATAAGTAACCAGGAGCCCTTTTTCTGCTGCTGTCTAATGGTGCTTTTCCCAGTTTTCCCTCCTCCATCCCACCAAAATAGCAAAGGCCTGACAGAAAGCCCTTCCTTGGCCTAGGCGTGGGGGGCAGGGAGCGGCGCACTGAACTGCAGTGCTGGAAGCCACGTGGCCGACCCTGGGCTGGGCTCCCGAGTCAGCCCACACTCCGTGTCCTGACAAGTTGGAGGGTGGGGAAGGGGGTCGTTGTGGTGTGACGAGGTCCTGTCCAAGCGTCTGCTTCTCTCATTCGCTCTCTCACGCTCGCATACGCATGCACGCGCTCTCCCTCATGGAGAAAATAAACACACAGTTTCTTCTCTTGGGTACCAGATTCAAAACCCTGGGTCACCACTTGATCTTAATTTTTTTTGCTGACCATTCAGATCACAGTCGGACTCTTTGCGGGGGCTTTGTCAACAAGACCAAGAGCTCATCACTTTAGGGAACTCCAATCGTCTGGAGTGTTAAAGCCGCTGTTCACATGAGTGGGAGAGCCCGGAGAGGCATGGCAGCCCCAGAGAGGAAGACATTGATGGGCTTGATGCATTTCTCTCGCCTCCCAAGCAGCCTACGTGAGCTGGGTGGTTACTGAGGAACTCTTACCCTACAAGGCAGGCATCAGGTGTCACTCTTCAGGTGGCCAGACCTGAGTCCCGCAGCTAATGTGCAGAGCTGTTCTCAGGCCACTTAATCTCCATCAGCAGAATCCCCACTCATCCTGCTCTCACCGGGGGCTCCTCTGTTCCCAGTGTGGGAGATTCGTCCACGCTACACAGCTCAGAATGAGTGCTGACGACAGCAGGTATCCGCGTCACACCTAGAGCGTCAGCACTGGCACTGGGGAATCTTGACACTCAAGCTGGGGCGCTAATTCCTCTTCTTTTTCTTTCTAGAGAGAATTATTTTTTCCTTTCTGTCTCTCTGCATTTGCTATGCTGCAATCCCCTCCCCTCCCCTCCCGGGCACACATGCACAAGTGCCCAGCGTGATTTTCAAGGCACCAGTTCTGGGACTCGAACAGTGGTCAGCCATGTGGTAGTCCAGCAACATAACTGCTACGCCATCTGCTGCCTCCCTCTTGTCTGCTTTAACACACAGCCATGCTTGTTTTCAGTCACTCTTCCTCCAACCTGGAGTCCTTTGCTCTGCCTGGGCTCCACCATCAGCTGGGTAGTAGAGCAGTTTGCATTGAGTTCTATTTTTCTATCTTGTTTTTCTTCTTTTTTTGTTTTAGAGAGATTTTCCTATAGGGTACATGCACTTGCCGGAGAGAGAGAAAGCAAGAAATCAGCTCCCGGGGGAATGGCCATGCCACAATCCCTTCTCCTCCATTCGCCTCTCTGGATCTTGGGCACGCACGCGCACATGCCCAGTGTGAGTTTCAAGCTGCCGGGTCCAGGACTAGAATGGTGGTCAACTACATGGGAGTTCAGTGACGTAACCACTACGCCATCTAGCGCGTGGGTGCTTTGAGCTTGGGCTATAAATTCTATACTATTAAGAAAATGTTGAGCACAGATGTTTGGCTCAAATTTTCCCTGCCAGTAAGGCCGGACTCTATATTCAGATAAACAGAAGAAACATAGATCTCTTGATAGTGCTGGAGGGAAAGCCAAATGAACAGGTCCCCAGAAAGCAAGAAGATGAACCTAGGAGGTGATTAGAAGACTCTGACATTGATTAGTGAAAAGTCCTTGCACTTTCACACTATTGTTACCTTTTCTTTGCCTGAAAAGCCAAGAGTTATTTCAGAGTGGTAAGAGAGAAAATACCTTATTTTCATCCTTAGGAGCATTTCTTTCTTTTTTGAAAGGTTTTTGCAATAGAGCATGTGTGTTTGCCAGAGAGAGACATTGAGAGGTAAAATGAGAAACCACCCTCCGGGGAGATGGCCACACCACAACCCCTTTATCTACACACTCTTCTTGGAATCTTGGGCACACAGGCACACGCACCTGGCATGATTTTCCAGCCTCTAGGTGTGGGACTTGAACCGTAGTCAGCCATGTGGGAGTCCAGCCCCTTATCCATCATGCCACCTGCTGGCCCCTTGAAGCATTTTGTAATTGAGAAAGTTTATTCCTACTGACAACATGCTATTTGCTGGGTGCTATATTTCAATGATTGTGTCCTCTCCCCCCAAATCCATGTGAAATCCTAAGGCCCAAAGTGATGGTTTTAAAGGTGGGGTCCTCAGGAGGTGATTAGGTCACAATGGCAAAGCCCCTGTGAGTGGATTACTGCCCTTACAAAAGAGGCCAGGGAGCTCCCTGACCCCTTCCCAGGTGAGAACAGTTGGGAAGGTGCCATCTGTGAGTGAGGGAGTGGGCCTCACTAATCACTGAGGCTGCTGGCCTCCTGACCATGGACTTCCCAGCCTCCAGAACCGTGAGAAAGTACATTTGCGTGGTGTGTCAGCACCCGGTATGTGGTGTTCTGCTACAGCAGCCCAGACACACCTGGAGAGGACCTCCCTCACTGCTCAGCAAGAGCCCGGAGCTAGTGTTGCTCAGTCGGGGCACACAGCTGAAATGGGTCTCCAGAACCTGTGAGGGTCCACGGCCGACAGAACGATTCAGGCTCTCTGACCTCTATGTGGAAAAGTTAAACGAAGTGGGGGTACTTGGCTCAAAATTAGGCATCTATAAAACTCTTACACAGAAAATGATGGTAACCATCTGTTTTCAGTATTCTCAAGTGAAAATACATGTCATTATGTCTCAGGCGTGTTTTCTCTTTCCTGCCCTATCTCTAGTTTCTCATTCTTAAGCTTCTCTGGAGGAGAAGCTGGAGGAAGAAGTTATGTCGACATGTCACTTGAGCCCGTGCTCATGACAGCAGGGACCCTCTCTGTCCAGCCATCAGCAAGCATCATGCCCTGCCTGGCCCTGCCCTGTGTAAGTAACTTACATCCTCCCTGTTAGACCTCTGGGGTGTCTTAGAATCAGAAACTTTAAGAGCAAGTCCTCAGGGACTGGGGGCTCCCCAGTACACCCTCCTCCCAACTTCTATGTGTGGCCTCCCTGGCATCAGGTTTCAGAAAGTTTTGGGCAAGTGACTATTTTTATTTCTCTTTTTTGCAACTCTTAAGAGTGGCCTCAGGACCAGCAGTTAGCATAATGGCTATGTTGTTGGATTCCCATGTAGTCAACTGCAGTTTGAGTCCTGGACCTGGTGGCTTAAACTCACATCACGCACATATGCATGCGTGCCCAGGATCCCCAGAGGAAAATGGAGGAGAAGGGATTGTGGCGTGACCATCTCCCCTGGGGGGTGATTTCTCGCTTTCTGTCTCTCTGTCTCTCTCTGTCTGTCTGGTGAGCACATGTGTCCTATAGCAAAAATTTCTCCAAAAAAAGAGTGGCCCAGAGGCCACTGCGGAGGAGCAGAGATTATTTGGGCTGATTTTCTTTTCTAACTTATCTGGGATTGGAATAAATTATATTCTTATTCTTCTTATTATTATTTTATTCATTCACTTATTTTTAATTTGACAGAGAGAGACACAGAGAGGGGGAGAGAGAGCACGAGGGAAAGTGAGAAAGCAAGCCACCAGGTCTGGGACTTGAACTGTGGTTAGCCATGTGGGAGTGTCCAGCGCCTCCACCACTATGCCACCTACTGGTGCCCATATTTTTATTATTATACTACAAATATTATATTATTCCATTTATTTTACTATAGCTACCACTGTACGTAGTTTTATCTGGTTTCATCAACAGGCTCCACAGGTGGACGATTTCCATGGACTTATCCTTTCTTCAGCAGACTAAACTGGTTCGAGTGCGACTCCACTTCACTTCGCACCCTTGTTCAAAAAAAAGCCAGCTGCTAGTGCTTTTTCTGTTTTTATCCCCCTAGAAAACAGTATCAGTGGGGACAATTTCAGAAAGATCTTCCCCCAGTCACATCTATGATTTCAAAGTGGTAAGTCCATAGCCAAAAAGAACGTCATCATGTAAACCACCGGCTGGTAAGTCCAGCTCTCCGAGTGAGCGCTCAGTGATTCGCCTTCATCTTCTTTCTTGCTTTTTCTTTTCTTTCTTTCTTTTTTTTTTTTTTGAGAGATTTTTGCTACAATGTGAGGGCACTCTGAGACAGAAAGTGACAAGTCATGCCCCGGGGGCATGGCCATGCAATCCCTTCTCCTCCATTCTCCTCCTGAGATTTTGGGCACACACGCACACATGCTCTGTGTGAGTTTTAAGCTTCTTGGCCTGGAACTCGAACTGCACTCAATTACATAAGAGTTCAGAGATGTAACCATTACGCCATCTGCTGGTCCCTCTTTCTTTCTTTTAATTGCCAGAGGGTGTGTGTGCTTTCCAGAGACAGAGAAAGAGGGTGAGGGAGAAAGCACCCCCCCCCACCCCTGGTGTATGTAATCACACACGATTCCTTTTGCTCCACTCTCTACTCTGTCAGGATTTGGGCATGCATGTACACAAACCTGTTGCATCTTTCAAGCCTTCAGGGCTGGGATTTGAACCACAGTTGGCTGTGTGGGATCTGGTTTCTGTAACCACTACACCATGGGACCAGCTCAATTCCCCTTCATTTTGGGGGGTGGTGTCTCCACCACCCAGAAATAACATGTAACTGCCAACTCCAGCAGGAGACAGACTTAAGAGCTGCCAGAATTGGCCAGTATTTTGGAACCATAATTTTTTCCCTGCATGTCTTTCCATGCCTTCCTTCTGAAGGGATTTTACCTATATGTTTAACTATATGATATGAAGAAAGAATTTTTTTTTTTTGAGAGGTTTTTGTCTTAGGGCATGTGCGCTCGCTGGAGAGAGAAACAGAGACAGTGAAAGGGAAAGTGAGAAATCACCTCCTGGGGGAATGACCACACTATAATCCCTTCTCCATCATCCTCCCGGGAACTCAGACATGCATGCACACGTGCATCGCGTGATTTTCAAGCCACCGGGTCCGGGACACGAACTGCAGTTGACTATGTGGGAGTCCAGCCATGGAACTGCTCCATCATCTACTGGCCCCAGATAGAATTTTTGGAAAACAGGTAGAGTTGCTTGGCTGAGCAGGGAGAGGCTCACCTGTGCAGAAGCTAGCCTGCCCCCTAGGAAGATGGGCAACTATTCTCATGCATAAAATGAAGCCCTAAGGACGCAACCTCGGACATTACTCAGACTCAGCCTGAAAGGGGCTTACTGATCAGGTGCAAGCTGGGAGCTGACCTTCAGCTGTTGTGCTCTTTGATGCCATCTGTCCTCAGGCTCGACGGCGGCATTTTCAAGCTCTGTGGCATTCTGAACAGAGGTCTTGTCCGTTACTCTGATGGGGTAGGAGATCTAAGAGGGCAAAACACACACAGCACGTTAACTCGCTTCACCTGGGCGTTGGAGCCCTGGGGCTCAAGTCTGTACTCTAGAAGGAGGCCCTGTGGAGTGAGGTTCTATTTTCAGTTCATTTTAAGGATGTGTCAATTCAGTCTTGAAAGGCTTGTATTATTTCCCCCTAAAAAGGGAATAAACAATATTTTTTCTTGTAGGCATGAAGAGGGTCAGACTATTACTTACTTTTAATTAAAGTTCAATACATACTTTTGGGGACCTGATTTTAGGACAGCTCTTTGGACCAGATGCTGCTGTCATGTTTGAGCATGCTGATAGAAACACGATGAAATAACACTACGCACCAAGATGATGACAACAACGATGACAGAAATAACAATATTTGCTATATGCTGGCAGTGGGGTGGGGGGAGGCTAGAACCCTGGCAAAAAGCAGTGTTTTGGGGGACCAGCAGTTAGTGTAATGGCTATGTCGCTGGATTCCCACATGGTCGACCGCTAACTCAGCTTATTAGAAATATTATCCTAGGGACCAGCAGTTAGCGTAATGGCTATGTTGCTGGACTCCCACGTAGTCAACTGCGGTTCGCGTCCCAGACCCGGTGGCTTAAACTCACGCCAGGCGCTTGTGCGTGCGTGCCCAAGATCCCGAGAGGAGAATGGAGGAGAAGGGATTGTGGCGTGGCCATCCCCCCTGGGGGGTGATTTCTCGCTTTCTATCTCTCTGTCTCTCTCTGTCTGTCTGGCGAGCGCACAGGCCCTATAGCAAAAACCTCTCCAAAAAAAAGAAAAAGGAAAAGAAACATTATCCTAGACCTACAGAATTTGCAGCAATGGTTTTGGTACTCAGTGGATTTGAATAATGGAGACCAATGGTTCCAAACATCAGTTAGATATAAGAAAGGCCTGGGAAGCTTTTTAAAAAATATGAATGCTGTTTTCCCACCCAAAGTTGATTAGAAAAGGAGTTCTGGGAGTGGCCCTGGATATCAGTATATTTTAGAAGCTCACTATCTGGGGCCAGCAGGTGGCATAGTGGTTAAGGCACTAATTTTCTACATGGTCAACAGCAGTTTGAGTCCCAGACCCAGCAGCTTGAAAATCATGGTGGGAGTGTGTGCGTGCATGCCCCAAATCCTGAGAGGAGAATGGAGGAGAAGGGATTGCTGCGTGACCATCCCCCCTGGGGGGTGATTTCTTGCTTTCTGTCTCTACGTCTCTGGCAAGCACACATATCCTATAGCAAATATCTCTTAAACAAAGCAAAACAAAACAAAATTCCCCATCTATTATCGTATAACGAAAAAAAAAAGAGCCCTCCAGGCAGGCCTGATAAACACCCAGATTTTGCAACCACCCATAAAGGAAGCTGCTATGTGGGATTCAGGTTCCCAAATTATGCAAGGGCCCTTCATTGCTCCAATGGCTACCTGTTTTAAACCAGAAATGAGAGTGTCACTGTGTTGTGTGGGATTCTAGCTGCCAGAAAGCAAATTTAAGATTGTTTATCTTGGGGGACCAGCAGTTAACGTAATGGCTATGTCGCTGGTCTCCCACGTAGTTGACCGCGATTCAAGTCCTGGACCCGGTGGCTTAAACTCACGCCAGGCGCGTGTGTGTGCGTGCTCAAGATCCCGAGAGGAGAATGGAGGAGAATGGATTGCAGCATGGCCATCCCCTCTGGGGGGTGATTTCTCGCTTTCTATCTCTCTGTCTCTCTCTGTCTGTCTGGCGAGCGCACACTCCCTATAGCAAAAAAAAAAAAAAAAAAAAAACCTCTCCAAAAAAAAAAAAAAAAAATTGTTTATCTTGGGCCAGCACGTGGTGTGGTGGTTAAGGCGCTGGACTCTCACATGGCTAATGGGGGTTTGAGTCCCGAACCTGGTGGCTTGCTGTCTTACTCCCTGCACCCTCCTCTCTGACTCTCTCTGGTGAGCACATGTTACTTATAGCAACTTGTAAAATAATAATAAATAAAATAAATAATTCTCTTAAAAAAATACATATCATAATCTCAAAGAAGATTCTGGAAATGATCCAGCCTAACCTCTACAGCATGCCTGAAAGGTGCTCTCTGCTCTGCCTATCCTGCCCCAGCTCCTGGGGGGAGTTTCCCATTTGGCAGTGTTAATGCTTTTTTTTTTTTTTAAAAAAAAGAATCCACTGGGGTAAAGGGAAGAGGCTCTTTTTCAAAAAAAACATTTTATTTACTCATTCATTTATTTTATTTTATTTTATTTTAAAATTTGACTGGAGAGAGACACAGAGAGAGAGAAGCAAAATGAGAAAGCTAGCCACCAGGTCTGGGACTCGAACCATGGTCAGCCATGTGGGAGTATCCAGCACCTTAACCACCATGCCCTGCAGTCACAGAACAGAGTCCCTCTGTCAGGGCAGCTGACTGGCCTGCCCCTGTGCAGACGGGACGCGCTCCTCCTGGGATGCACTGCTCAGGTGGGCTGCTCCAACCATGCTCCCGTAGTCACCTGCAAACGCGGTCAGGTCTCTGCCCTTCTGCACTGGCGCGGTGGGCTCTGAAATGCAGACTCAGGACTTGGCGCTCGTTGGTTCAGTTTCCTCGGCTGGCATCGCAGTGTGAGAAGCCGCAGGTGCACAGGACAGACGCGGGATTGGGGTCTGGGTTTTTTCTCTGTGCGTTGCCTTCGTCCTCCCATTGACAAGTGTTCAATGCAGGAGGGAGACAAAGCTTTGCTCTGTGGTAAGGGATGCGTGGACACCGAGTGAGGGCGATGGCAGTCCTGACTCGTGGTCGGCCTCAGGCCACAGAGACTCCAAGTCCCTTTATTTCAGACGCACTCTTCTGTCCGCCTGGACTGGCTGTCCTGCTTGTTCTACGCACACTCACTTCCTGTGTTAGAGCAGACGGCGCACACACTTAGAAAAACGAAATGGTTTCCTGCTTGAATCTTCACTACTAAAGCAAGGAACAAAAACATGTACTGTTCAATTGTGACATTCTTCTTCTTTTTTGGTAGGGATTTTTGTTTTAGGGTACATGGGCTCACCAGAGAGAGAGAAAAAGAAACAGGGAGAGAGAAAGTGAGAAATCACCTCCCAAGGGGGATGGCCATGCCACAGTCCCTTCTCCTCCCTGGATTTAGTACATGTACCCAGCATGAGTTTCAAGCCACCAGGTCTGGCGCTCAAACCATGGTCAACCAGGCAGGAGTCCAGTGAATTAACTGCTGTGCCACCTGCTGGTCTCCATGGCATTCTTATTACAAATGAGAATGATCACCAGGGTTCAAATGATGAAGCCACTCTGCAGATGGAACACGTAACATCAATAAACAGTGCTGCTTGTGCTGAAATGAAAACCTTAGGGGCTGGTGGGTGGCAAGGTGCACAAGGTGCAGGACTTCCACATGGCTGACCATGGTTCGAGTCCCAGACCTGGCAACTTGCTTTCTCACCTTCTCTTTCTCTCTTTGATGAGCACACAGCTCTGTAGCAAATTAAATATATATATATATATGAAGATGATAAATAAAATAAAAACCAAAAAATTTAGAACCATGTACACTGCCGCTCCCAGTTGGGACTCGTTGCTCACATTTCCATGTCTCAGCCCCTCTCGTGGTGCTGGTTCAAAGAACACCAAGTGATTGATTATGAAGGTGGTAGGTGTTTTTAAAAAAGAATGATTTATTTGATTTATTATTATTATTTCAATTTGCTATAGGGCACATGTGCTCACCAGACAGAGACAGAGACAGAGATGAGAGAGAGAGAAAATGAGAAAGCAAGCTGCCAGGTCTGGGACTTGAACCATGGTTGACCATGTGGTAGTCCAGTGCCTTAACCACCATGCCACCTGCTGGCCTGAAGGTACTAGACTTTGGCAGATGTTACTGCAACATCGAGTCCCTTAGAGGAGGGGACAGATGAAACAGGGCACCTGGGTAAGGTCAGGGTTCCATCTCTTGCCAGTAATGGGGTTCATAAGGGTGTCGTCTTATAACTCATTAAACTATGTAGCCATTGGGACCAGCAGTTAGCGTAATGGCTATGTCATTGGACCCCCATGTAGTCGACCGGGGTTTGAGTCCCGGAC